TTGAGGGACTATTGGTTTGGCCTTTGCGAACGCGAAGCAGTGCACGCGAACGCGAAGAAGAAGCTGGGCAAGCCTTCGTGAACGCGGCCAAGGCAATACGAACGCGTAGAATAAAATGAAGGAGTTGGGCCTGAGGTCGTTTGGCCTTCGCGAACGCGAAGCGTGGAACGCGAAGGAGATGGATAGCTGGTCATCGCAAACGCGACGAGGAGGTCGCGAACGTGAAGAGGAAATGATGGGGTAGAAATAGTTGGCCTTCGCGAACGCGACGAGGATGTCGCGAACGCGATAAAGGATTTGAGGCAGTTGGGTTTTGTCCTTCGCGAACGCGAAGAAGGTCTATCCGGGCAAAATTAAAAGTCCCAAAAATGGGGGTGTGAGTTCAGAACTCAAAATCAAATTTGGAGCTTGGTAGAAGACGATTTTGGGAGAGATTCTTGCGTGGGTGTTTGGGGTAAGTGATTCTTATCCAGTTTTAATTAATTTTCATGATTATGCCTTTGAATCCATCATTTAATTCGGATTTTTATGGAGGAAAATCAAGATTTTTGTAAAATCTTCCAAAAATAAAAATTTAAGATTTGGAGGTCAAATTGTTATTGGAATTCGATAAAATTGGTATGGTTGAACTTGTATCGGAATGGGTATTCGAATTTCATGAAAATTATATCGGGTTCCGAGGGGCGAGCCCTGCATTGACTTTTGTTGACTTTTTGGAATAAATTTTTAAGTCGACGTATTATTATCCGGAATTATTTCCGATGAATTTTAATGAAGTTATACAATTAATTTGGATAGATTTGAGCTGTCCGGAGGTCAATTCAAGCAAGAAGGCTTTGGAATATCGGCCTAACTTCAAAAAGGTAAGTGTCTTGCTTAACCTCGAGTGGGGGAATTACCTCTTAGGCATCGAGTCTTATGTGCCATTTGTGAAATGTAAAAAGCCGTATACGCGAGGTAACGAGTACGTACTCGGGTTTATATGTGCAAATTTTATTGGATTAAAGTGTTAGGCATTATTGTGTAGTAAATTGGGTAATTGTGAATAATTATTAAATCATCTGTTTGCCATGCCTAAATCCTTGTTGTTGAATTTATTTTTATATGACAATTTGATGTGATTGTTATTTGAAATATTTATGAAATTTTCGTAAAAATTGTTGGTTTAATATTTCTTGGAAATTAATTTCAATATGAATTTTCCCTGTGTAAATGATTAATTAAATAAACTTAATAAGAGGTATTAATATAATTATCTAAATCTGGATTAATGAAGGTGTGCCTTATGTTGATTATTTTTCTATCTCTGTTAATTATTTTTGAGGTTTTATATATACATTGTGTGGGCCTTGGGCTATTGGTTGTGAAATTAATTAATTTTGTTATATCCTTGAAATTTGTTGTGGCCATTGGGCAAACTGTAATGTGAATTGATTTTGTTATGTTGCCGTGATAAATTGCTATGTAAATTGTTGTATTGTGTGAGTTATTATTTTGAGGAGATAAGGGTGGCATTTCACTGTTGTTGTGTTTGTTGGAATATTGTCTGGGCGGAGTGATAAGGGCGGCTATAAGAGCAATAAGGGTGGCAATAGGAGCGATAAGGGTGGCTATTAATATTGTCTTGGCGGAGCGACAAGGGTGGTTATAGGAGCGAAAAGAATGGCAATAGGAGCGATAAGGGCGGCTATTGTCAGGGACGATATGTGATGATGTGGAGTTGTGGTGTTGGTGATTTTCATATGATGTTGTGATTTTCTTGTATTTATTTTTATGCCTTGTGCATTTTATCTTATTGTTGGTAAATTGATAATAATCTGATTTATGTTGAAATTGGGAGCCTGTGGCTATTGCCAGGCAGATTACCGTGAGTAAATAATGAGGATATTGGCACGTGAATTGTCTGTGCAGTTATAATATGAAACGTGGGTACGAGGTGATGTGATTAAATGACAATGATATTTGGCACGTGAATTGTCCGTGCAGTTGTGATATGAAACGTGGGTACGAGGTGATGTGATTAAATGACAATGATATTTGGCACGTGAATTGTCCGTGCAGTTGTGATATGAAATGAGGGCACGAGGTGCTGGGGAAATATGTAAAATGGGGTGAGACCCTGTTTACGAAAAAATATAAAAAATGGGCTGAGACCCGTATTTACGAAAAATATAAAAATGGATTGAGACCCTTATTTTTATCACTATGAAATGAGGTGTCACATGGTGACCTTTTTATATTCAAAATATTTATTTGAAAGGATTTTTATTCAAAAAGAATTATATGAAAGAATTGTATTTGAAAGATATTTATCTGAGGAAATTATTTTTGAAAAGAGTTATTTGGAAGAATTATATGTGAAAGACATTTATTTGAAGGACTTGATTTAATTAAGTATAATTGTATTTATTAATTGTTGAGTGATATTAATGGTATTCTTGTTGTCTGCTATGCATATCAGTGGTTGTTTCATGTTTCCCTTATTGTTATTTGTTTGCTATTATTTTGTATATTATATTGCACATGTTATTAGACTAGTGAGTATCTTGACTGTACCTCGCCTCTACTCCACTGAGGTTAGTCTTAATACTTACTGTGTACCGACCGCGGTGTACTCATACTACACTTCTGCATATTTTTGTGCAGAGCCAGGTATTGGAGATATCAGACTTGGGCAGAGGTTAAGCGGGATCATAAGAATTCAAGGTAGAGCTGTTTGGTTGTCGCAGTCCCTTGGAGTCTTTTCATTTCATTGTACTGTTAATTTGTAATAAAAAAATATTGTATATTCGGTTCTCGTGATCATTCTATGTATCCAGTTAGAGTTCGTGACTCAGTTCTACCAGTCTTGGGAGGTTGTATATCTATATTTGTAATTATTTCAGTTGTTAGTTTTAAAAAAAGTAATTGAAATCGGCTTACCTAGTCTAAGAGATTAGGTGCCATCATAACGCCATTGGTGAGATTTTGGGTCGTGACAACAACGACAGTTTTTTACTATAAAAATGCTCAAACATTTTTAAGAAAAAAATTAACACATAACTTATTCCTTCTAAAATTGGGGGCCTAAGGCATATGCCTTACTTGCCAAGCCTTTTGAGCCGGCTTTGTACTAAACAAGGAAAGAAATCGATCGACAACTAAACACAAAATAAATGAAAAATATGAAAGAAATCACAACTCATATATAGCACTGCCTCTTCCCTAGAACATGAATGCAAACAAGGCACCAAACACAACTGAAAATCCAACCACCACTTTGCTCATGGTGCCGAAAACTCCAGAGGCACCATCAGGCTTATTGGTGAGCGTCGAGCCGGAGGAACTTCCTTGAACTTTAATGGCCAATTTCATGCCAGTACCACAGTGATTAAGTTTAGGACAAACAAAATAGACGTCAACATATTATACAACTATTTTCAACTTTCATACAACATTCAAATAAAAATATATATAATTGCAACAGAATACATTTCGTAACTAGTGTATGTCATGTGTTCTTCTTCTTCTTCTTATTCTTCTTCTTCTTCTTCTTTCAATCTGAAATTCAGCCAAAATCAAGTCTAATCTTTACCAAACACCTTCAAATTTAATATATAAGCTCCAAAAAATATTCTTAATTGTTTGCAACAACACCCAATCCAAACAAATAATAGTTTTTAAAAACTCAAATTCGAATTCAAAGTTTCGGAGCTTTTTAATGACTGTCAGTGGTGGAGAATCAAATACCATTAAAATTTATTGATTGACAATTTCAATTCGAACACCAATTGCGCAACATGAAAAAAAATTGCTAAATTAAAACTCTATATTGTAACAATTGAAATTTATTGATGAATTCCTTGGGAAAAAAAGGATGAAAAGCAGAGAAAAACAAAGGAAGTAAATTGGGGGAAAGAACAGAGAAGGATTGAAAGAGAGACAAGGAGAGAGAAGAGAGAGACGGAGAGAGAGAAAGAGAGAAAGAGAGACAGAGAGAGAGAGAGAGCGCAGGGATGTGATTTTCTATTCAATTTCTAATATAAAGAGATATTTATTTATTTGTATGTAATTGGTAAATTGTATATACCATGTAATTAAGTTAAAATTTAATTATGAAAGGTAATAAAATTTCATATAAAGTAAAGGAATGTAAAAATACCTAAATTAAAATCTCCCTAATGGGACGTCATTGCCCATGTTTTCTTTTGGCATTTAAAACGTTAAAGGTAAAATAAACTTTGGTCAATACAGACTTTGGTCAGAAAATGAGATAAAGACAATAGTAAAAAAAAACAACACTCACTTGTCCTTTTTGTCTTAACTTCTTTATAAATATTAACTGGTGTTTAAAATAAATGGAAAATATCATTAGGAGGCAAGACTCTAGTCATGGATTTTAAATTAAACCATGTGTCATCATTCCTGTTTCTGGAAGGAGATCAAATCCTTCCATTGACCAAAGTGAATCTTCCTTACGTTTACAAAGTCGACAATTAAATCACCAAAGAAAACATTGGTAATCTTTCAAGACGTGAAACTAGCGTAACCATGACAACCAAAACTATATACTCCCTCCGTTTTAATTTATGTGAACCTATTTCCTTTTTAGTCCGTGCCAAAAAGAATGACATCTTTCCTTATTTAGAAACAATTTACCTTTATGCAATAATTTATAACCACACAAAATATGTGTGCCTCATTTTATACCACAAGTTCAAAAAAAATTTCTTTTTCCTTTAACTCCGTGCTCAGTCAAATGAATTGACATAAATTGAAACAGATGGAGTATATAGAAACCAAATAAAAAAAAGAGAGGGGGGAGGATAAAGAAAGGGAACTTTTATTTTGTTCCAATATCTAGTACTAAATCTTCCTTCAAGTTCAGACGTCACTGATTACTTCAATTTTATGACAACGAATTTAGTGGTTGAACCAAAACTGATTGCCCCTGCAATTGATTTAGATTACCCCTTTGTTTCATTGAATGTATCACCTAATTGAACTCAAGGCCTAACGACTAACGTAAAATGTAGACTTGTATATCATAAAAGAATACAAAATTTTCTAATTAGTATTAAAGAAAAAAAGGAGAAGATTTTAATACAATTCTGAAAAATGATGGAATATGTAACCCACTATGGACATGTGTCTTTTATCGAGCATTCAACAATGTGATGGTAACTTCATTTATAGAACTAGGTGTTTGTGTACTCCAAGAAAATTCAGCATCTTTAACATTCCTTTCAGTGAAAAAGCCAGGATGTTTAGGTGGTGGCAAAATGCCTTCATTGCTCAGCATCATAATCACAGTAGACATATTTGGCCTGTCCTCTGGATTCTGTTGAACACATAACAATCCCACATGGATTGATCTAAGCACTTCTGATACATAACATGAGTCCACCAGATTTGGATCTACTAGTTCCAATTGTCTTCCTTCTTTATGAAGCATCCATGTCTGCACATCAACGGATTTAACTTATATAAACTAACAATGTTTACACTATCAATATGGTTTAACCTGTGATAGTAATTTAGTTATCCATTTTTAACAGATTATCAATTAGCTTATAGTAGAAATTTACATGTAATTTACCATCAGCGCATAAAACTTAAATGCATTAACAAGTACTTTGTCTAAGTAAAGTCTTTTTCTCTTAGGAGTTACAACTTAGGACTTACATGTCCAAGAAGGTTGAGGTGGTGGTCTGGATGAACAAATCGTCTGTTCTTCTTTCCACTCACAATCTCTAGTACTAATACTCCAAAACTAAAGACATCTGATTTTACTGAGAATATCCCATCGACTGCATATTCTGGGGACATGTAGCCACTGCAACAAAGCAATCAAATTTATAGTTAGTGAAGGAATATGTATGTGTTAATGTACATAACTACATGTATGATCTAACATCGAATCTTACTATGTTCCAACAACACGGCGTGTATTGGCTCCTGTCTCGTCTCCTCCGAAACTTCTAGCCATCCCAAAATCTGAAATCTTTGGGATCATTTCTATATCAAGCAAAACATTGCTAGCTTTCAAGTCTCTGTGGATGATTCTAAGCCTAGAATCTTGATGAAGATACATCAGTCCTCTAGCAATTCCATTGATAATGTTGAAGCGTTTAGGCCAATCAAGTAGTGCGCTCCTTTCTTCATCTGCCAGAAGTTTTCAATTATTATTATAATTTATCTCTAAACATGAAAGTAAATTATGTGAAATCAAATTAGAAATTCCCTTCTTGAACATTTGCCATTTTGAGTATGAGGTTTTTTATATCACTCAAAAGAATTGATTGCATTGAAAGAAATGGCTGCACACTAGATGTAAAAAGACTAACCAAATATATACAAATCCAGGCTCTTGTTTGGCAAGTATTCGTACACCAACATCTTCTCTTCTGCTTGAATGCAGCATCCCAGAAGCTTTACAAGATTTCGATGCTGAAGTTTTGCAATGCAGTTAACTTCATTCTTGAACTCGTGGAGTCCTTGCTTTGAAGTTTCTGAAAGCCGCTTCACTGCTACTTCTTGTCCACCTTCCAATACACCCTGTAAAAGTAGCAGTCCTGTTAGAAAGTCGATGGAGCGAATGGTCATTTTTACCCTACTATTCCAGTCAAGTTTTTGTTTAAGCAGCATCCACTTGCACAGTTCATTTCCATTTAGAGGCTATGATGCTAGAAATTGTTAAACCTACCACTATACAAAGGACACAACTCTTCACTAATTTGCACCAAAAAAGGGACAAATTCAAAAACTGCTTTTTGTACTGACTCCAAGAATTAATCTTCATTTCAGGAAAAGCAAAGAAATTAATGGGATTTGAGGTTTCAGTGTGCTCTAGAGTATTATTACTTGGAGTCTGAGAAATGTTTCTACCTTGTGAACTTGTCCAAAGCCACCCTCTCCAATCTTGTTCTCAAATGAAAAGTTGTTAGTAGCCTTGGTTAATGTAAATAAGTCAAAAAGTGGTAGCTCAAAATCTTCATGGTGATTTTGATTACTGTCATCATTCTTGTTGCTGTGACCACCTAATCTCCCTGCCATTTTAACATACAAGTAGAGTTCGTTCGGACTTCAGACCACACTTCAAAAGACATACAAGTGACATATACAGAACTAATAACCATAATTAGCTGCTCCCCGGCTTTTCAATAGATAAAATTGGTATAATTCACTTACTCTTTGTTGTGAGCACTGGATCCTCTCTCCTTTTACGTTTATAAAGAATCAGGCCTACACCTAAACCTAGCAGAATCAACGCAACCAATAGTGGTAAAGCTACTGCAAGTATGACAGCTTTCTTACCCTTTGATCCAGCTGAACCTGCAACATTTTCCATCCAAATATTTTAGGTAGCTGTTTAAATTAGCAGTTCCTACATGCTTCATTGTATTTGTTCGATTTATTTCCTGGAAAACAGGATGGTCCTATAAGTCTTTTTCAGTTTTTCTCCACAATGTGGACTTGGATTACCTAGGCATGAAAGTGTTTAGAACTAAAGGATAGTAAATCTTTTCGTAGAGAAGTAAACCAACATTCTTAAGTTTATAGCTACATTCCTAGTAAACACACTCTTCTTTCTTTGCTAATCAACCTTATATAATTGAATTAGCAGTGAATCATGGTTGACCACAACTCCACAAGCATTATACAGTGACACTGGTGTTGAGGCAGGAAGGTTTTATTTTGGCAAGATTCAATAGAAAGAGGTATTTACAAGTATAAGATTTAGAAATTTAAATTTCTTAAATGGAAGAAATTTGATGCTTTCTACACATCTTAGATCCAGGCAATCAAGAAAAACAATAGCTATTAACATTAAACATCCATCAGTGAAATTGCATAGGAGTATTACCTATGTCTGAAGCAGACATTCTAATGTAGATATCCTGTCCTGATTGTGATAGCTGTCTGATGTCAACCAGCTCATCAATCCATAACAAGCACCCGCTTCCTCCATTGCGTATGTCCAGATTAGTATAACCCATACACGAACAATTTCTCAAGCAAACTGCCCTGCATTCATCTAGTGTCATTGTCTCACTGAACCAAGAATTTCGTGTATCAGGCAGTTTAATACCAGAATACATTAGAAACCCATCTCCCGTGCAATTTATTGACCGTTTTCGGACACAGCCACTCGACCAATCGGCCCTATTCCAATCATATGGATGTTTTGGCTCGAATTTGTCTAAACATTGACACACAGGATCACTCAAAACGTTGCAAGTGCCATATGCACCACATAGTTTATACGCATCACAATCATCTGCATCTGTCGAATGGTAATTAACCCAACCCTGAGTCTTTTCAATCCAAATCATACGCATAGTATTCCCATTAGGCTTTATCACTAAAGTGTTAATAACAGATTTATTCACAAGTTCATACTTGTAATAAATTTCCTTACTGTTCATGATCAAGCCAAAAGAGGTGATTGAATTGTTCACCATATTAGGTGCACCACTCCACCGAAGACCATTCCATGGCCCTGCTCTATAAATAACATTAGGCCCTTTTCTCATAAGGTCTTGCGGATAACCAGTAGGATCACAGTGATAAGTATATTCCCCAGGAGCAGGATCATCATTACTTCGCCACGAGGTAAGATACCTTTCAAATCCAGTCACCAAGTCTTTTCCAAGTTTCATACTTGCTATCAACGTATCAGTAGGATAATCAAAGCTTTGCCAAAGGAAATTTTCAGGATTTGGATCATCTGCATCTCTCACCACAAAATTTCCTGTGTCCAGCAACTGAGCAACAGGATTTTGCACAGTTGTTGATGAATTGGTTGACCAAACAGTGGCATTAGTATCATTGACAAGAACAACAAGACCTGACTGAATGACTTTCAAGACCCCAGATTTGTTGGTGACAGGAGCTACTCTATTAGCAACCCAAACTGGAGTAATAAGAGAGATTTTCTTGTACCATATTCCAACATAGCGATTTGCGGAAGTGTCAAGAGGACTGAAGAATCCCATCTCGAATGTTTCATCAGAGGAAACAATAGTTTCACCATCTTTAATGAACTGAGTTGTAGTTATGGTATCCCCTTGACCATTAACCTTGTGAAGAAAAATTAAGGAGAAGAAGAGGAGGAGAAGAAAGGGGAATGTTTCCATGGCTAACTCTTCTTCATATCTTGGCTGTATCTTTGTACAAAAATAGGAAAAAAGATTTAACTGTAAAGGGTGGGGGTGATAACAAGTCACTATATTCTATTTCTTGTGGTCTTTGGTCTGAGGGACGACTAAGACTTCGTTTTATGACTCAACTTGGAGGATAAACTGGTTTTGCAAGATTTGGACAATTTTGACACACTTGTCCACATCTTAAATTAAATAAAAACTTATATATGGCCAAGTTTTAGTCTGGTTATTGGTTACTGGTGATTCTACATATCCCACAAAAGCAGGGCACTAGAATTAGTCAGACCAGCATCTTTCAAATATACTTATACTGGATGATTATAGAAAAGGGACTACACAAATGACGTGAACAGAAAACTAATGAAGAAATTGAGATTTGAGAATTCGACACCAGTCTCATCTTTCTTTAATTTTCTTTTTTGGTTTAAATAAAAATATTGTGCATCACATTTGGCGGTTTAATAATCGTCTCAGAGTTTCCATCTAATTTGTTGTCTTTTCTCTTTGCGGATGTTAGTACACCTCTTTAATTCAAAACTAAAATGATTAGCCAGACTTTTCTTAGTCTAATTCATAAATTACATTATGCAAAACCTTTTTAGTCAATAAAAGCCAAAAGAGAGAAATTAGATTTGATTACTATTTGATAGCATCGAGGAGTTTGGAATTCATTGCATCCTGTAATTATCATTTCCTAAACTAAACGATAATGGCCGATTGCAACTTCATGAACAACAACAACTCAGTATAATCTCACTAGTGGGGTCTGAAGAGGATAGATAGAGAAACTATTTCCGATAGACTCTCGCCTCCCTCTCTCTAAGAACTTCCTTCCATTTATAATTTGGTGCTCTAAAATACAATGAGGCAACCCTTTTATTTGTAGACCAGTGGCAGAATTTTTACTATATATATTAGAATTCTAAGTTTCATTACGAGAATTTGTTTAATGATTATTGGACTTTCTGAACCATACAGTCGTTATCTGTTTTACCTAACTACAACGTTATTCAATAAATATTACCCTACTCAATCGAAAGGTTTTACTTGGTCAAACACGTGTTTTCTTTAGTCTATAACATCCTCAATTGGACAGGCACTTAAAGATCTTCCTGGTCCTCTTCCTACTCCAATTGATATTTGATAGCAACCTGCATAACCAAATATGAGTATATGACCAAGTCATGCATATTTCTTCTGTTTAATCTTGTATGACACTCTTAACTATTTTGGTAGTTATAAAAACCTTTTTTGGCAAATATATATTTTGAATACTTGTTATTTTTAAATACAACAATAACCCAGTATAATCTCACTAGTGGAGTCTGGGGAGGGTAGTTTGTACGCAAACCTTACCCATATCTTTGGGTAGAGAGGCTGTTTCCGATAGACCCTCGACTCCCTCCCTCCAAGAACTCCACACCTTGCTCTTGGGGTGACTCGAACTCACAACCTGTTGGTTGGAAGTGGAGGGTGCTCACCACTAGAGCAACCCACTCTTGTCATACTTGTTATTTTTAAATATTGTTATTAATAGATGTTTTGTATGGGATAAAGTTGGTTTATAATATATGGTCAAATGGTAGCATGATACGTGGAACCGAAGGTAAGGAAAAAGCAAGTCACGCAACAACCAATATCGGACACAACGAATATAATCGATATCGGGTAAATTCCGAAGGGAACATATTTAACAGGAGGAGATCAAGGGTTTGCCATCGGATATCATTCAATGAGGGAATATTCTCTAACATTAAATGAGCAACTGTTGCAGGGAATATTTGCATTCATGGCCTGCCGTTATATATTCATCAATGACTCTTTTATTATCATTTAAGACGAGCTTGATCCTAGGATCTTATTTCCCTAAATAAAGCTATAAATAGCAGGCTCATCACCCACTGTAGAGGGACGATATTTTCTGCAGACATAAGTTATAATTTACTTTTGCTCTCAATTAAACAACTTTATTCACACTTTATCATTGCTTTCACTTATGTTCTCGGAGGCATTGCGCTCGGAGTCGGGCTTTTCATCTTCTTCAATTTCAATTGCTAAATCTCATTTTTAATCTTATCTCTTTATTATTTTTGAATCAAATCAGTTCGCTTGTCTATAAATCACGTAACAAATTTAACTGTACCATTTTACGGGTAAACAATATTGTTCTCAAGTATAATATTATTTTATTTTATTAATAATCATTCTAGTATTAATAGTACTTTTAGGATGGAGGGAGTAACATTTATTTTAACGATATAGAAAGCAAAAAGAAAGTGATTCTTTCTTCTTTTGTGAGGTTGTGGAGGGAGTTGGGTTAATTAAAAGGACGCCACTGACTTTCTCAGATTTGGCTCCAAGAAAGTTTGCTTTTAGTTGAGTTTGGTATCTTTGAAACTTGAAAGCAACATAAAAACAAAAACAATAATTATAAAAAGGCGGGGCGTGAGGTTTTGTTTCTTTCAGCCACTCAAATTACATGACTTTTGGAGGAAGAAAGATTAATAAAATAGAAATATTAAATGTGGTGATGGATTATCCGAGATATTAGAGATCAAGCATGGAGTTTTGTCAAAGGATTCACATTCTAACAAGCTATCATCGTTTAAGAAATAAATAGTTCTAAAACTTATTGCATTAAAAACATCATATTTGTGATTATAAAAACTTAACCTTAAAAATAAAATATTAAATTTAATATTAAATTAATTCTAAATATTACAACGTATTATTCTTCTGTAGCTAATCATGCCTATGTCCTTCCATTATTGGTAGGCAAAATATATAAGTTATCCCTTAAATTATGGACCAAAACTCTATTACAGACTTTTTGAAAATTACCTTACACTCAACCTTTGTAAAGTGTGTCTACTACACACTATATTTTTCTTGATCAATTTTTCAAAATATGTGTAATTTCATGCTCCAATCAAATAGTGACATGTGTCATTAACTTATACAAAAAAAAAAAAAAAACTTAAAATTATAATTAGATCCCATCATGTTCATTAAATCCATCATGGCTGTCTTCTCTTCTATTGGCCACCTTTTTTTAATACTCTCAAATCTTGCTTTCCATCTCCGACCACTATTCTTCAACCAAAAATCAGCTATGTGAAGTTCTCTAATACCAAAGTAGCATCATCCGTAACCCCTCATCTCCATTAAAATTATTTTTCTTTCACTTTAAAAGAATCCCAAAATAATAATCTGGATTAACTTCCTTAAGTAAGAAAGCCTACACATTCCCTTTCGAACTTATTATCTTTCTGCTAAAATCTTTAAATTTCATATTATTCTTCATAAAAATCAAGGATGGCAAGTGGTACTGTAGAGGGCGGAGGAGGACTGCCGCTGGCGGCCAAGGCTGTGGCTGAACTAAAAAGGAGTTGCAGAGAGCAGTGAAGGCTCTAATTGAAGACGACATAGATCATAGATTCACCTTTTCATCAACCAATATCCATTAATTTGGACAAACCTAAAAGATCTCTTTTTAAAAAAAACATTATCTCTCTCTACCTTTAAAATTTCATAGGCTATCAAGCTTCGTTATTAGACTCGTCATAATTTCTATGGAGGAGTTTCACAAAGAAAACAAACAAAGGCGGGTACGGGGATATGGGGGACTATGGAAGACAAATATGGGAGACCTTTTGGTTTCGTTGAAGAATGAACAAAACAAAATAAAAGAAAATGGAATAGTAATAAAAGAAAGAAAAGGAAAAGGAAAATCAATTTGAAACGTTCAAATAAAACATCACATATAGTATATTTTTGTTTCTTCACACGCCTTATTTTGTTGGTAAAAACGCGCTGGTCACGTAGGCAAAATAGTGTGTATTAGGCATATTTTGAAAAAATTGAGTGTGTAACGTAATTTTCGTCCACAAAAAATTTGTAATAGAAATTTCATTTATAGTTCAGGGGACACCCTATGTATTTTGCGCCTTATTGATATCATCACGAGACGATACATTAATACTACATAATTTCTCTGCGATTCAAGGAAATACATATTTGTTGCTAATAAAATCAAGAGTTTATTTGAGTTTCTTGGGACATAGGAGCCATCTGCATAGTCAGTACCAAGGACGAGTAGATCATTTATGTCATGGAATTTTCACTTTTATCCCGTGCCAAATATTATTTATATTCGCTAGTCAAAAAATATATAAAATTTGTATAATTTTTGTATATAACATACAGAATTGATATATATATATTCGACTATTATTTTGAGAGCGACTATACAATATCATTTTCCCTTATGTTATCATTTTGTGTCTGGATTAGTTGATGGACCTCGGCCGACCCAAGAGCCATCTTCTATAATACAAAGGGAGATTCAAAAATAGCAAGGTTTTCAAGTGATAATTGAAAAATAGTCATAGTTTCAAAAATAATCGAAAATACTGTTCAAAATCCGAAAAATATTCCAGCATAATATACTAAAGTTTATGCTGGAACTCCAGTATATTATACTGGAGTTCCAGCATATTATACTGGAACTCCAGCATATTATACCGGAGTTCCAGTATATTACTACTGATCGAGCATAATATGCTGGAAGCTCATACACTGGTGCTCCAATGTCTAGTATATTATGCTGGAACTTTTCGCGTGTTGGAGTTCCTGCATAATATGCTGGAAATTCATACACAGGTGCACCAATCTCCAGTATATTATGTTGGACTGGTCCGTATTGCAGCAAAATAGTTGCTATTTTTCAATAATTTTACAAACGCTGACTATTTTACAACTACCAGTCCGAAAACTGGCTAGCACGTGCTATTTTTACTAATACAAACCATGATTTATGCTAATTTGGACTTTCAATAGAAAGAGTCGTTTGATATTGGGCAGGCCATGTCTTCCTCACTCAGTCAAGTCTAAATTCAATTAATTTTCATGACTCCTTGCCCCAGTAATTAGCTTTTCTATTTCTGTAAACATCTGCTCTGAAAATTTTCAATTGTCCATGCGCATTGTACAACTGTGCTGCAGTATAAGATGACGGCCACAAATCTTTAGCTCCAATCACGACAAAGTCAATTTTAAGTGAAGACCAATTCTCCAAATTGCAGACTAACTTGAGTATTATTTGACAGAATACAGAGAGGAAGAAAATCCAACCAAAGTTTAACAAGTTGTTAGTTTTATCAT